ATTACAAGTCTACCCACATCAACCCCACACATGGCATGTCACGCGATCATGACTATGGGAAATGTTTCTAGTACCCTAGCTGTCATCATGATAGCCCAGTACGAAAATTGAATCATTGATGCATTTCGATCATTTCTTACAGTTACTAGCATTTCTGCTTTTGAGAATTTGGATATATTTCTACTACTCTTATTCTGTGTCTATCACGAACACAGGACCGGTAGCCACGGTGGTAGGTTGTGTCCATCGGAAACAACCTATTCTATCAGTGTTTGGGGAAACACTGGGGAGGAGGATTGATTATTAGCCACCGTTATCCCAAGATCTTATTTATGATGCGTAGGCAGACTTGCCAGAGGTTCACGTCATTACAAGTCTACCCCACGTCAACCCCACACATGGCATGCCATGCGATCATGACCATGGAAAATGTTCTAGTACCCTAGCTGTCATCATGATAGCCCAGTACCCACCATTTTCTAGACTATACTAGTATGGACCACATTCATCGACCGTCTGAAGACTCCCCGTGTTTTTCAGCACGCCTTGTACGATAATCAGATGTAGTCGGTGGTGTGTACAATGGATATAGTTTTTTTCCGATACATGCGTCTCCATGAGCTACTCATGTCTCTGAACGCCAAAAGCACATCTTTAGCGCAGATGGACTTGTGGCGCATAGAGGAGGGGGTGATGTGGAGGACACCTGTCGGAATATATGACCAACCATTTGTGCACATATACGAAGTATAGGAAGATATGATCCCTCGGTGGTAACTTGCCATCCGGAGAAGTGGCAAGTAAACACCGAGGAGATTTGTCTCTTCCGAAGTCCGTGGCCGCTTGCCGAGGGAAGAGATGGGGGAGCCTCCGGCTCGCCTCTCTCGACCCTCTGGTCACACTCTCTCTACCTCTCTCCTCGTTACATCTCACGAAAGGAAATAGCCACCCTTGGCAGTGGGAGAATACTGCAAGAGCACCGGCCTCTGTCTCTGACAGGGACCAGTGTCCTCAGTACGCGCTATCTATGATGAGCAGTTTGCGACAGGTTCTACATATGTATTTTACAACCTATTTTTATTTCCCGAACCGCAACAAGTATGCTCGCTCGAAAAATTTCTGCCATGAAGTGCCTGCTTTTAGCGCTGATCACTTCGTGCTATGACTATTCGACGGGTATGAAACCAGCGTCATTCGACAGCTGATTTAACAGGCTTCCTCTTGAACCCGCCTAGTGTGTGTTGCTCAAGTATTGCGTGCAAACGTTGCGACATAGCGTGTGTTTTTCAACGGGAGAGGGCATTTTGACAGAAACATATTGTTTTAGAGAACGGGAAGTACCCAAATTGGTCTTGATTATTGTGTTCCACCGCACTAGCACACCTAAGCGCCGCAGTGGTCGTACATGAATGTACAGGAAGAACACACATCTGTGGAAATGTCATGGCAATCGTACTTTCATTGCGTCTGATTCTTGTACAAACAAACGGAAGACCCCCGGAAACGAACGATGGCAAAAACAGAAACACGCACCCCCCGAACGCACCACGGGAGACAGCCAAGAGTGCTTGGGGGTTGACATCGAGAAGCTGTCGAACCACGTAAGGAAGTTTGGATGGAGGGTTTGCATCGCGAACATGATAGAAACAGAGAAGGTAAGGAGACAAGAGGCGAGGGCGACGGAGGCGAAGAAGGACCGAGCGGGGGAGGCGAGCAGGCAAGTCAGAAGAAGTCCGAGAAGAAGCGGAAGGCAAACGATAGAGTGCGCAAAATCCTCAATCGGGCAAAGCACAAGCTGAGAGTTGGGTCGTGGAACGTGTGCGGGTTCGCAAGGAGTGAGCGCAAGCGGTTGGAAATAGTGGACCAAGTAGAACACAGCGATCTAGATGTAGTGGGGATCCAAGAGACGTGGGAATTGAAGGATGGGGACGTGGGAAGCAAAATAGGGAAATACCGGTGGGTAGGGAAGGCAAGAAAGGGCTTAGACTCCAAGAAAAGGGGGGAGGGGGGAGTCGGATTCCTGGTCAAGGAACACTT